TTTTTTTTGGTTTTTCTCCGGTACCGGGAACCGAACTCACGACCTTGCGCTTGCCAGGCAGGCGCTTTTACCGCTGAGCTAAATCCCCAGCCCCTGGTGGAGGATATTTCTATCTCCACATGTCTTGGAAGTCATTTAAAATTGCTTCCTTTAGAAACAAATAATATTAGCAATAGGAGGAAAAACAGACTTAGAACAAAATTAAATCAATGGTGAAGAGACATCTGTACATACGTCACTGAGTTACTTGACCCATGGTTTTCTGAGTCTATGATGGTGCAGAAGCAATGCACAGTCAGTAGAAACCACTTTGGAGCTTTTCCTGGGCTAGTGATACGTGGTATGAGACCCTCTCATGATGCTAGCAGTGGCAGTGAGCCGCAGATCCCAGACACAAGATCACGGGAGGAAACAACTGATCTTTGTAGTGACTGTGTTGACAAGTGATGGTGTTCTGCAGGTCACAGGTTATGAAATGTATTTTCAACTTATGATATATTCAACTTACAATGGATTTATTGAGATTGAAGCCTATTGTAGGCTGAGGAATGTCTATGTATATAAAGGAGAGCAAACATTTGGTATGATGCATTATTGTGAACAAAAAAGCAAAATATTATTTATTTTGCAAATATCACACTCAGAAGGAAACCAACCAGAAGCAGAGTTAATGTCAGGGAAGGACCATACAGGTGCCAAACAAAATAGCCCAGGACACAAAATCACTGCCCATATGATAGCGAGGCAATGAAGCAAAGGCTGTGAATGTACAGGCTTAATTGGGATGGAAGTCATCAGCACCGTGGGATAAGGGTGAGGGAGAAATGAGCTACACCTGAGAGGACACCAGGTAGAAACCTAAATGCAGACAAAAGGAGAAATAACAACAAAAGAGTTTGAATCCTGAATTGATACGGAAATGCCTATTCACTTAAAAGTTTGTGAAGTGCTGCCAGTTCGTTGCTCCCTATTGATTTCTGTAGTTAAGTAACCGAAGTAGTTCTGTAATCCTCACCTGTTCTATTTTGCCTTACCACGTGGAGGATGATTTTCTATGACAGAGGTCCTCAGTTATAGAAAATTAAAATGAGCTCTCTCTTTCTTCATTAAGCTCAATAGCAGAGAATGAGAATTTCCAATGTCTTGTAGATTCTATCACAAAAATAGGAATGAATGGCTCTTCTAAAAGATGATCAAAGCCATGTGCTTATCTCGTGATTGGCAGCGGGGCTGGCACGTACGTGCTTTGGGGACACTCAGCACTGATGTTAGTCATGTGAATGGTGCTCCCTGGAGATGTGCTGTACAGTCCGTGTGGCCACATGCGGCAGCTCACAATGAGACCTGTCTTATCACTGCAGGTGCATATCTTTACTGACTCAGTAGTCCTTACCAGCCCAACCCTCCCTTCCCCAAACAATCCACATCTGTATTCTTTCATCCCAACTTATAATTATGTTCCAATCATACCTACCTGGCTCTGCATGCAGTTCACCCCTGGACCTCTATTATAAGCCAGAACATGTCCAGTTAGCTCATTTGCTACAGTCACTCTGTTGACCTTTCCAATACTATTTTCTGTTCTCACTATCACGTTCCTTGTTATGGTGAAGTGCAAAAAAAAACCTGACAGCCACACAAAACACAGGAAATAGACGTTCTCACAGCAATTGGTTCAATTTTAGTACTCACCACATAGTTCTGTAAATAGTTGTTTTCATTCCTGACTTCTTCACCCAGCCTGATGTGAGCCTGATGAAGGACAGAATATGCTTCTTTGAGCTTCAGCATTTAGCAGGGTACCCACCACATAGTAGGGCCACACTTACGTTCAGTAAGTGGGTGAGTGATTGAATGTATTGCTTTCTTGGATTTGCAAGCAGTAGTCTCTGTTGAGCATATGGTTTTAAAAGTCTTCTCTTCATTATGTGCAAGGCTTGCATCTGTTTGCCTTCATTTAAGTGCTTCTTGGAAAGATTCAGATGATGATGAGAAAGGCTCTTATGTCATGGCCGGTGGTTTCTGGTTTCTGAGTCTTCTGTGCATTCCTGTGCAGGTGGGGAAGTGGAAAGACAAGTCCCTGCAGATGAAATACTACGTGTGGCCCCGAATGTGTCCTGAGACAGAGGAGCAGGAGGATGACCACCTGAGCATTGTGACCCTGGAGGAAGCACCATTTGTCATTGTGGAAAGTGTGGACCCTCTGAGTGGAACTTGCATGAGGAACACAGTCCCTTGCCAAAAACGCATCATCTCTGAGTACGTGTATCACCTCCCCCACAGGTCCTGGGTGGCATGGGAGAGCCGCGTTTGTTGCAACTGTTAGCACCTGGCTAGCCTGGGGCCTGGGGCCTGGGGCCTGGAGCCTGGAGCCTGGAGCCTGGAATGAATTGAGTGCCATGCACTTTTCACCTGCACTTTAGCTGTGGGGCCACTTGCAGCCTTGTGGTATGGTGTCTGGTTCTGTCCAAGTCACAAGCTAGGAAGATGCCTCGCTAACCACTTGGCTACCACTCCTTTGGCCTTGCCTGGCCACAGCGACTGGGACCTCGGATTCACAGAGGTTTAAATTCACTTTTGCTGCTGAAATATGTTTCCTTGGACCAGTATGTTCCTAAACTTTGAGACTGAGAGCCATGTTTGACAATAGATCAGACTTATCTATGCTCTCAGAAGTCAGGGTAATCATTCTCTTTAGTAAGAGAAAGAAGGATCTAGAATGAAGAATGAGAGACCTATTAGGTGTTAGACACTTTTCTGTACCAGGGTTGGGGTACCAGTTAAAAGGTGAAGGTGTGAAAAGTCAGCGTGTGAAAATTCAGTGACCTGAACCTTTAGGATATGTACCCTTTCCTGATGTGTATTATACTTCAACAGAACATTAAAAATTGCCAGCAAATGTGGCTCAGTGTAATGAGAATACTGTGGCTAGGAGGTCTGGTTTATTGGGCTTGGCATGTAGGTGGCGGCTGTTTTAGGGTTGGGATTTCAATGAACAAGAATAATATTTTGTTTCTTGTACAAAGCTTTGCTTTTTTTCCCCTTCCTTTTTATGGGTAGGAATAAAACAGATGAGGAGCCAGGCTACATCAAAAAATGCTGCAAGGGGTTCTGTATAGACATCCTTAAGAAAATTTCTAAATCTGTGAAGTTCACCTATGACCTTTACCTGGTCACCAATGGCAAGCATGGGAAGAAGATCAATGGGACCTGGAATGGTATGATTGGAGAGGTGAGTGCCAGGAAGTAAGGACCATTTCCATTTCTCTTTTATTTTGCTTCACTTTTATATTTCTTAAAATGTTCATTTCATATATTTCCAGAATTATAAAATAGTAAAGAGAAGGTACTGTTCCCACTCTACAGTGAAAGTTCCTGCTAGGCCATGTGTATTTTCCTCACGATGGCCCCTGTCTTCCTGGGTTGTAATTGGAGCCTTGTACCTTCCTCTGCAGGTGGTCATGAAGAGGGCCTACATGGCAGTGGGATCACTCACGATCAATGAGGAACGGTCAGAGGTGGTCGACTTCTCTGTACCCTTCATAGAGACGGGCATCAGTGTCATGGTGTCACGGAGCAACGGGACTGTCTCACCTTCTGCCTTCTTAGGTAAATCATGCCTGTGCTAGTGGGAAGAAATGGATGTATGGACAAGGGGATAGATATGGGGCTATTGCAGAAGCATATGGCCAGGCTCTTTCAACCACGAGGAGGCTTGCCATTTGCTAGGGACTTTATTTGGGGACTTTAGAATTGATTATTCTCAAAAAGCAAAGCTCAGGAACACTCAGGAAAACAAGAAAGCACAATGCCTTTTAAAAAAAACCCCGGGGGACTCCGTCAGTCCCCTTCTCGTCCCTTAGGCATTGTTTGACCTCAAGCAAATTTGCTTTATCTTGGGGCTCAGTTTCCTCATCCAAAGAAGAGGCCTTTTCACTAGCTGATCTGGAGACTGCTTCCTCCTCTAATAATGCTTAATTCTAGATATCACTGACATTCTTATTTTTTTTTAATTGTCTTCAAGAATGGAGCCTAGGACTACCAAAATAGATCTCTTGTTTTCACATGAATTTTTGAGGCATTGCCAGCCAGAGCTGATCTGAGGCTTCCTCCTTACGCAGCCTCTACTTCCCCACCTCCCAGTATCACTTATGTGTCAAAACCTTAGATAGGATATAAGACTGGGTAAGAGAAGGCCAAGATTTCCATTAGATGAGGGCTTCTCTGAGCTCATACCCCATATTTTTTGTAGGGGCTGTGGAGCAAGGGGTGGAAAATAAGATGTCACCTTGAAAACAGAACATTTGGCCAGGAGACAGGAAGTCTGGTTTGGTCATAAACAAGCTATAAGCTCTTGGACAAGTCATAATCACTCTAAGAGATGTCAGCATCTTCAAATATATGAAGATATTGGAATAGACACTGATTAATATTTCTTTAAACTTGCTTCATAAGGAATTAATTAAATTAATGTACCACTAAATGGAATTATAGGTTCCATAGAATTTTTCTATAAATTACAATTGTACTCGTTTCTTAGCTAATTTTTTATTTCACAGTGAAACAAATTCTGCCCCTGCCAACCTTGTGTGAAATGTTATTAGATAGCACACACTGTACGCATTAATCCTCATAGCTGCTGGGTGCAATTTATTTGAACTTTTCCTTCATAAGGATGATTGGAACATTGAAAGATACAATGCACATTGTAATTCTAACTCTTGTCAGTTTATCATGAACTATAACTTCTAAACCAGAAGAGCTGGTGAGCTCTGAAATGACAGAAATGCTAGGCAGAGTATTTTGGAGGAGTTATTCGTTATGAGGACAAGAAAAGCCAGTGTTTATTGAACACCTAATATGTGATGTGCCAGCTGTTATTGTGCATGCCTTCAATAGTCTTAACTCACTGATACTACTATATCCACTGTATGATTTAGGAAAAACAGATCTAAGCTAAAGTCCAGTTATGGCAGCCTTCAGAGCCTGTACTCTAGACAGAATTCAGAATTCCATTCCTAATGAATACCACATCCTAAGGAATCCGGATATGGTGGGCAATTAGTGCAACATAATGCGCAGAGCAGACTCGATTCATACCCTCACTCCGCCACTTTCTGAGTGTGAATGAAGGACTTTGATCTCAACCTTAGTTTACTCCTCTTAAGTAGGTATGATAATCCATAATGAAGGGCTCATTAAAATGATTGTAGTTAACAGTGTGTGATGAAATAAAGTTTTGTAAATTAAGAAGACCGGTACAGATATTTATTATTTTTTTGTGTTGCTCTGAACTTAATGGGGGAAGAGACTGACCTGAAAGTGATGCTTTTACTCAGCTATTCTCCAGGCTTAGAAAAAAGTGAAATTGAGGTAGGACTTCAATCAATGAGAGTCAAAGATGAAGGAGATTTCCCTCAACCACCATAGCGAAGCTTTGAATTGTACCATCTATGCTTGACTCTCTGGCTGCCATTGAAAGGTTTGGTATTTCACAGTTGGCGTGTTAAGCTCTGGAACTTTATTAAGGTTCTTTTTAAATTGATTAAGTGACCAAGCTTTTATAATTCCTTTGGAAGTTCAACAGTAAAGTAGGTTTCAGAGTGAGAAATATATTTTCTAATTTGCAGCCAATTTTTCCCCTTTCTCAATTTCATCTTATTAATGATTTGGAAGATAGGGAAAACAGCATGTTAATTCACTTAGTTATGAGCATTTTACAGTGTGACAGCTGAAAAGGCTAGGACTATTTTTGAGACACAATTGGGGGAGCACTGCATCATGGGATAGAGTAGCGATTATCCTTTTGTGTACCGACCTTCAGAGAGATGGCTTCTAGAATATAGTGTTCAGTTTCTGGGCACCTCCAAGCCAGAGAGAGTTATTAAACTGGAAGGGAATCGGCAAAAATGATTACAGGTATTAAAGAAATATGTAGCCCATTCTTGCTATTTTACCTGGTCTTATTCCACCAACCCCATCACCTAGTAATAAGGGAAGTAACAATTATAATTATTTTGTGAATCTCTACTTATGCACATTCCCTTGTCACTTGTTAAATTCCTACTGCTGCAGATATTGATTTTCAACATAGATTTTTAGCTTTGACTTATAATCTTATAACCTAATAATGTGTAATGAAATATGCCAAATCAAAGTGGATTGCAAAGGAAAATCTAGGCTGGAAAATTTAAGAGAAATAGGTAGGAGTGGTTATTCATAATTATTATGGAACCAATTCAACTCTAGTCTATTAAGAATTAATTTGATTGCAGCATTCAGTAGCAATGGCAAAGGGTTTTGGGAGTCTTCACATTGTAGAAATGAAAACATTATAGAAATGAAAACATAAACCAAATCAATCTAGGGTAATTCACTTGCACCTTATCTAGTATTTCTTCCAATTGTACCTTTTACTGAAATACCAAGATATGGGTCCAGAAGCTCCAGAAACTGTCTGTAAAAACCTCAGAAGGTTCACAAGCATGAGGTTATCTTCTTCATGTGTTAGAAAGAAAAACAACCTCAATATGCCCATCTGGGGAATGGATTTGCTCAGTACATCTTATTTCTCTTTAACCTAGTCCCTGGCTCACTGAAGGCCTTGTTCCTTGTTTTCCTCCAAGTTTGTGTTTGCATGAGCAAATGAAGATGTCAGATAATGAGCATCTGTTCTCTGCTCTGACCCTGGCCGGGTTTTCTTTTCGTTCCCAGAGCCATTCAGTGCTGACGTATGGGTCATGATGTTCGTGATGCTGCTCATCGTCTCAGCTGTGGCTGTCTTTGTCTTTGAATATTTCAGCCCTGTGGGTTATAACAGGTGCCTCGCTGATGGCAGAGGTAAGGCCAGCTGCAACCACTACATTTCGGCATTTATTCTAATTTGTGACTCTAAATCTTTGTGCCCCTCATTTTTATATGCATCCTTTATAATTTACTCATTTCTGGAAAAAATAATCCCTTATGCACCTATCGGTTGGGACTTCCATGTTCCCTCTTGGTACATGCCAGCCCTAAGTCGAGTCCCACCCCCAAGTAAATGAGAGGAAAGATGGGTGGTAAAGACCGTTAGTGTAAATATGTCACAGAAAATTATTTGGATAACCTCAGGCTAAGGGCAGTTGTTTGTCGGAACAGATGTGACTCACAAGGCAGATTGTACACACATGTTAAGAGTGAGGAAAGAGGGGTTGCTCGAGGGAATATATGCAAGTGGCTGTGGCTAGTGGAGCTCTCTTCAGCTAAAAGATCACTACTGAGGTCTGAGATCCCCAAAGTATGTATGTGCCTGGGTCAGCTCCCTTGCCAGGTAGGAAAAGTGTCAGGTACTTAAAATAAAATGAATGAGGAAACTAGTTTTCACCCATAGCTCTTACAAGGTATCCAGTTCCCTGGGTAGATGCACCCGAGATGTGAGGACTGTCTTTGTGTTTGAAACATTTATGACACTTTTTAAAAGTTCACTAGATTTCTGAAGGGGAGCATGAGATCCCCGTGTATAGCTCCTCTAAAACTTCCTGAAAATCCCAGAATTACGAATTTTCTCCTTCCTCCAAGTCTTCTGCTTTCACAGTGGGAGTTATCCTGGAATTGTAATGTCAAGAGGAAAAATTCTGAACGCTGGCTCCTAATAAGAATCACCTTAAAAGACAAAAGTGCTAGGACCTTGTTTTCTGATTCATGAAGTCTAGGGTGGAGCTTGGACTACTGTATATTTCAAAACAGTGGCTCTCTATCTTGATTTCACATTAGAATAACCAGCACAATACCGTGGCAATTTAGTAAGAACTTCTACCTGGTAGATACCAGGCTGCAATAGTTGGTAAAAGTTCCCCTTATGCTTCCGTTGAATTCACAGTCCAGGATGGGGGACGACACGTCACTGATCAACTTCCAAGCTTTTTATTTTGTTTGTGTGTTCTGTGGTGGAATTGTTAATGTCCCTGAAATACAGTATGGTTAGTGGCTTTGCATATGTGCTAAAGGGTCATCCACAAACCATGATCTCTAGCCCAGGCTGAGGGCCTCTGTAAGAAGTGAAACTGCTGGGACTCATGTAAGTGTATAAAGAAGTGAACAATGTCAAGAAATTAAGTGTGCAGCCTCCTCTTACTTTTGAAAAAATTCTAGAAAGTGAAAAATCCAGATTTACACAACCCAGAGCAAGCACTTATAGTTCCATTACCATGGAATGCTTATCTTCACAAAGGAATTCCACACAGTGCCACTTTAAATAGCAACTCCCTCTAGAATGTTTTGCATTTTACAAAACTTCAATTTATAAACAATTTTTTAGTTACACATCTGTTGCATGAAATAAGATCCACATGCACAGATGTGTGTGTACAGTTAGATATCAAGTTCGACATGTGTAGTCCCTGATGATTTTGTTGGCTGAGCAGATGCTGTCAGGATCACAGCAAACATCCCAAGACCTGTGTTAATACATTGGAAAATTGTGCAAGCAGATGTTCGTTTCTGCAGTAGAGGGGTTTCTGAAGATCCAGGCAACAGGCAAGATTTTGCTTTGACCTAGAAGAAATAGCAGTGAAGTCACGATGCATTGATGTGCAGAAGCCTTGACACTATGTAAAGATCAGAGGGGGGAAGGTCAAGTCAAGAACTGCTACTTCTTGCCCTCAGATCTATGTACCTGGGTCAGGAGTCCATGCTTTCCTCTCTGGGTTTCCCGATCAGCTTTTATATAGAAGCTACTACTGCAGGGTTGAAAAGTGTTGGCCTTGAAACAGAGTAGGGAGGGAGTTAGGTTGCGTTTGAAACACTGAGGGCTAAGTGCTAGAAGCTGGAAAAAAACTAGCAAAAAGTGCATTCAGAGCCATCCAGTATCAGTGTAAATAGGCTTAAAATGGGTTTCTGACAATGATAGGGAAGATTTGTACAATTCTTGCTGATGTGTTGCACACTGAAATGCCTCCTTGATAGAGACAAACATAAACATTTAGAGAAATGATAATAGTGGCCTAATTGTGATCATAGTGTTATAGTTGGCCATTACTGTTCAACTTTCGTGTAATCTTGATGGTCTTATATATGACAGCAAGAGAGTTGCTGTTTGGAGAAAGATTTCACACACACCCCAAGACTCTCATTTTCTCCTGAGGAGCTCTCTTCTGCCTTTCTGAGTCTCCCAGAAAGGAGAGGTACAGACTCTCACGTGATAAAATTGTCTATGAAAAGGCTCAGTCTCTCCTGCTCTGAGCAGAGACTTTCCAGCTCTGGGTGCTTCTAGGTTAAACTAGAATCAGTAACTCTGGCTTAACTTTCCGTCCTCATCTTTTTGTTATGCCAGAGCCAGGCGGCCCATCTTTCACCATCGGCAAAGCTATTTGGTTACTCTGGGGTCTGGTGTTTAACAACTCCGTACCTGTGCAGAACCCAAAGGGGACCACGTCCAAGATCATGGTGTCGGTGTGGGCCTTCTTTGCTGTCATTTTCCTGGCCAGCTACACTGCCAACTTAGCTGCCTTCATGATCCAAGAAGAGTATGTGGACCAGGTTTCTGGCCTGAGTGACAAAAAGGTAAGAAACCCATTTGAAACCTACCATCTTGCCTACGATCCTGGTCTGGGTCCTATTTGAAGTTCTCATGTACCTGTTAATTTTCTAAATCTTTAGAATCAATTGTTCTTTCTTATGTTTTCTTCAATTAGGACATGGGAACAGAAATCTGTTTCCCTACTGGAATAATATTATTTCGTGTTTGCTTCCTGATGTATAAAAGTACACCATGGGCTGCAAATAAGGGGCTTAGTATGTTCACAGCTTTCTGAGTACGTGGTAGCTCTTGTTGGATACAGTTGGGTGGCCTATCAGCTCCAGGTTGGCTCTCCGGTGTGTTATTAGAGGGCTGCCCCTGTGTACCCACACTGAGGGGATGGGAGCATTATGGCCTCGTTTTCTTCCCAGTGGTATTTGGCTGTGGGCTCTTCCTTTGTTCCTGTACACACTCCTGTGTTCCTAGGGCTGAGCAGGAGGATTGTTCACATTGCATTTTAAAGAGAAGTAAGTGCTATTTAACCTAATGATTGCCCCTGTGTGCCGCTGATGAATGGGTTGGCCCCCATGCCAATTGCAGGCCTCCTTATGGGCCTGTGCAGTTGCAGGAAGTATCTCATGGTTTCCATCTCTGCTGCATGAGGATATACAAAACCCATTCCAAGTGCATTTGACTTTCAGCTTTGTCTGAAGCATCTTAGTTTCCATGGAAGAGCTGTCCCCTGAACCACGGTAATTAGGATGGTGGTCTAAGACAAGTGATCAAAGCTGGCTCTGTGGAGTGTCTGGTAGAGCTCACAGTCAAAAAAGTAATGGAGATTTTCACCTACGACAAATTTCCTACTCATTGTTTCCGTAAAATTAAGAAAATGTGACTCCCCACATCCATCTCCAGGGTGAAGCCACGAAATACAGGCAGGTACCTTTAGAACAATAGACAATGCCTTAGCACCTGGGTCAGGTTTCTCCAAGATAAAACCCTAAGACTTAGGCAAATGGTTTCAAAAGAGTGAAAAAGAGAAGATATGTCCCTAGGGGCTCAGATAGATAGATTTTTCCATCTATCTATATTTACTTTTCAAAAATATTCAAAAGCATGTGGGAAGATAAACAGTTTCTTGAAGAAATTACATATATATATAATTTATTATGTTTCCTTTTTTATTTTATCACTTTCTCTGATTTGTCTTTTTATTTTTCTTCCTGTTTTTAAAACTATTTCTTATATTTTCTGCTCCCTTATTTTTGTTTTTGTTTATACTTTCATCTATCTCATTATTTATTATGCATTTATCCATATGTTCACCCTCCTATTAATGAATCCATTTCTAAACATTTTCCTTCATCATTATGACCCTGATGAAATTTGACTTAGATATCTTCCTTCATCCCATTACAACCACCACCACCACCACCACCACATTTTTGTGGCTATTTCTGGAACGCAGGCAATACTGGAATTAAGAAGTACTTTTATGGAGCCCAGTACTTTGATGTGGCCTAAGTGAGATGGATCATGCGCACCCTAAAACGTGGATGCTGCAGCAGTTTGATGGGCCATCCCCCATGTGTGGGTTTCCAGAGGTGTGCCAGAGAGTTTGTTCACATGAAAGCCTGGCCAAGAGGTAGCAAACAGAAGCCACATAATATATGGCAGAGCCAGTTTGCTTTGTAGTGATGTGGCAGAGACATAGTGGATCATGTCCCCACTCATGAATGTAGGAGTGTTTGTCAGGACCTGTTGCTGTGCATCAACATGGCAGAGGTGTGATGGCCCACAGCTTTCCTTGGGGCTCTGGACTGGCAAGTGGAGTGCTGCCATACTTATCACAATTTCTTTTCAAATGGTTCTGAATATTCCTCAGTGTACTGTACTTATCTTTCTCATAATATTGTGGGCCATTCAGTGACAACTGAATGTATTTCTATTTGAATGAGCATGATTGGATGAGGGGAGATTGTTATCCCTCCTGAGATTTTGAAAGGATTTATTACCCTAGGCTACTTCCAGAAGAGAAGACAGGCATCTGTTTGTCCTCCACATCAGGGTGGTTATCTTCCGAGAAGTTCAACCCTATCACTTTCTGCATACAACAAAAGCAGTTGTATTTGACTTTCTTCTGCCCTGCTATACCTTTTAAGGTCTTTCCAAGTGATTTCCTGTGCTCCCTTGCTCTGCAGTGCTGTTGGCAAGTACTTGGGCTCCTGTGTCCTGCAGCTTGGGCATCTTCAACTCCTCATTCTCCTGGTCATGCCTCCATCTGTGGATCTGCCCAGGAGGTTTTTCTTCCCAATTCTTCCGAACTCCTACAGACATCTCAAGACTCAAACTAGAGATCACTTTTCTTGTGAGGGGCTTCATTTGGCTCCCCTGGGCAGCTAGTCACTCTTTCGTTTCTCATGCCAATTGGTTATTATCACTTCGCTGTAACACCTGTCCTTTTTGTTTTGTTGTAGTAATCTGTAGATCTATACCTAATGGTATGCCCCTATCTCTAACTATGAGTTCCATTAAGCCAAAGACTTTAACTTGTTCAGAATTAAGACCAAAAGATAAATAAATAAAATTTCAAAAGTACAAAGTCTGTGGGGGAGGGAGGGGTGTGTACTTAAGAACCTCCTGGGCCAACAGTGGACTCAGTGTTACAGGCAAAGAAAGCACCAGACAGCGGGAACCCTTTAACAGCTGTTTAATTTGAAAATGATTGAAGATGGTTATCTGGTGTATTTCCAAATTTTGCAAATGACAAAATAGTAAAGTGTAAGCACCCTACCGGAAGTGTCAACATAATCTACATGATTATAGAAAACGTTTAAGTAACTAATGACATAAAACTGCATATTAGTGTCAGGAATAGTTATAAAAATCAGGAGAGTATTTTGAAAGTCTACTTAGAATGTCAAAATTCATACTACTTTTACTTCAAAACACCTAAGGAAGACAAAGTCTTGGGCATGGTAATGCATGAGAGGAAATGCATTCTCTGAATTTAGAAAAAGAAATAACACAGATATTGAAACAATAATGTTGAGAATAGAAATAAGATGATTTTGTGATTGTGATTTTCTATGTAATTACATTTTCATCAAGCAGAGCAGCATTTACCGTGAAGAACGGTTCCTAAACTTGTTATGACTATCCCAAATGACATAGCTTCTATGTAATTCAAATCAAATAATAACCGCCTTGCAGTGATGATGGAAAGATATTTGTAGCCATTAGATTTACAACATTTTAAAAATTTGTCTTCAATTTTGTGCTGCAAAAACTGTGCTGAGATTTTATTTATGTGGGGTACAAAATGAGAATGTTCAGAGTTAAATTTCCATTAAAGCCTATGATTTGCTGTTTTTGACTGGGTAGCTTTCGTGATAGCATTGTACAGTGGATTGAGTACGATTCCACTACATGCTGTAACTAAATGTGGGTGAAAGTGCTAACATTTAGCAACTGTACTGTGCAAACCTTCGGCTCCTCCAGGAGGAGGAGGGTGTGAGGAAGCTGCTGACATCTTCCTTCTCTTAACAAAGAGCTCACCACGCTGATGCTGTTGCTGCTTTCCTCTCCAGATGGACTTCTCATTTTGGCAGTCTACTGACCCGAGTATGAAACTGTGAAGGGAGGCGGGTGTATTTGGAGGGTGTTAGGTACATTACCTATGCCATGCGTTGGTAATCTTCTTGTAGTTGTGATTATTCCTATTTCACAAATAAGGATATTAAGACTCTGAAAAGCTTGGTAACTTTGCTGAAGTTATACATCATCCAGTGACAGAGTCGAGGTTCATGTCCCTTTGTGTTTGACTCTAAAATCACTTGGGAGGGATGTTTCCTTTTAGCTAACACCATGCAATGTTATGACATAGCTAAAGATAGGTATTGAGATCCTGCCTCTGTTTCTCATTTAATCCTCTACCATTTCATTCAATGACCTTGGAGTTGAGGGCAAACTCAAGACTTATCCCATACCACAGTGGAACACATGGTAAATTGTGTTAGTTAGCTTTCTACCTCTGTAACAAAATATCTGATATGAATAGCTTAGAAGAGGAAAAGTTTAATTTTGCTCATGGTTTCAGAGGTATCCATCTATGCTCACTGGACTCTGCCATTTCTAGGCCTGTGATGAGGCAGAAGCACCACGGTGGGAGTGTGAGGTGGAGGAAAGCTGCCCATGTGACAGCTGGATAGCAGAGAGAGGTTGAAAGAGCCCAAGAGTAAGGCACCAAGGACAAGAGATAGTCCCCAAGGGGAACTGCCCATGACCTACTCCCTTCAGCTGATGCCCCCTCCCTGTTTCCATCACCTCCCTTTAATGCCATCAGATTATGATCTCAGCAGTGGGCTGGTCCATTGATGAAGTTAGAACCATCATGACCTAAGCACATGCCAAAAGCCCATCAACAGTGAAGCCTGCAACACTATGAGCCTTTTGGGGAACATCTCATATTCAAACGATAACAGTTCCATTCAACCCAACACTTCTTAAGGCAGAGTTTACTGTCACTGTCATTGCTACTAATAAAAAGATTATCATTGTTATTATTAGCAGTATAACTTTAACCATAATACCTCAGCTAACATTTTTCAGCTCTTTTAAACCAGACATGAGGCCAAATATGTTGCACTGATTATTTTATGTATTGGTGCTAAGATCTTTATTTGTAGGTAAGATAACTGAAACTTAGAGGGGTTCAATAAATTGCCCTCCTGAAAATCCTGGCAGCCTATAGTTCTTAAATGGACCCTGTCATCCTATTTAGACCCTGAGACTTTTTTCCAGTTAATTTCCTTTCTCCCTATCCTCTCTTATACATTATCAAGGTTTAACAAGTCAGATCCTTTCCCTGTGTTAAAGCTATCTAATTAATTGAGCCATAATAATTAGATAGTATTCTAACATTTGCTTTTTATTTAATAAGTCTTCTAGAAGCATTACTTTAAGTAGACAATAATAGTGATTTCCAGTATTTGGGTGGGCTGATGGCTTTTAAATTGACTGTAACCTTTGCATAGGATGACCC